AAGAGAGCTGGTTTAGCCCCAAAGGCCTAAATCGGTTGGTGTTCAGGTATCTCAGTATACTAAGTACAAACCTAGTAAGGTTGGTTATCTCGGTTTGAGCTATGAATTTTGTTACTTCGGTTGAGCCTCTAGGGACAGCTTTCTGAGTTTGGTTTAGAAACTAAGAAAGCTGGCTTAGCCCCAAAGGCTTAGCTCGGTTGAAGACCGAGGTTCTTGGTTTATTGAGTTCAAACTTCGTTCGAAGAGCTTATCTCGGTTAAAGTGAATCAGGAGTTGGTAACTTGTTGAAACTACTGTTGTTTCTACGAGTTCTAGTTCGGTTATTGTCTGAATTGATCTACATATATAGCATAAACAGTATCTTAGTTCGGTTGCATCATGATTTTGGATCAAAGACTAGTCTTCTACAGGATATTGCATACACGCATGAGTTCTGTAAAGTTTTTCCAGTAAAGTACAGGGCAAAGCAAATGGAAAGAATATGTTTTGCAAAAACACACGAAACAAACTACATGGAAGTAAATAAAAGCAAAGAAAGATAGATGGATTCCAGTTGCTTACCAAACGAAGACGAAGAAACACTAAAGATGGAAAAATGGCAGCAAAGTCACAGTCTCTTCAAGTGCAACGGAAGAACAGCAAGAACACAGGGTGGAGAGAGAAGAGAGGTAATAGTAGAGTGGTTAATCCAAAATATAGAAGGTGTTTTGTGTAAAAGAAGGAACGAAAGAGAAAAAGCGGGAACTGTTCAAATTTTTCGTAGTACGAGGGCGGCGTGACAGCTGCCCCCAGCCTATCAGAGCCTGCCACGTGTCATTGGAAAGGGAAGCGTTACAGTCGCTGTGATTGAAGAGACGTTTTGACCGGACAAGTAGAGCCTAGAGTGAAATAAGCTCGACCGGAAGGCTAAAGAGTTTTTAGCTCAGCTGGAGAGGCTAAAGGGTTTTTTTTTAGCTCGGCTGGAAAGGCTTGAAAACTTCAGCTCGGCTGGTAGACAGGTAATCCCAATCATGCTGTGCAGATGGAATTAAGAGGCAATTGAGAGGGTAATTTTGGTGAAAATAGGGCCGAGCTATGAGATTGACTTTATGGCCCAAAGCACGAAGGACTGGGTAAAAAGGCCGAAAAGTTACTCCGGCCCAAGAGAGATAAAGTTGCTCCGGCCCAAGAATTGTAAAGTTACTCCGGTCCGGAAGCAACTTGGAGTTAGGAAAACAACCATTGTTAGTTCGGTCATGCCGTATTGTGGTTAGAACGGTCAAAACCTTGCTACTCGGTAGCTCGGTCTAAACATACCATGGTTTGTACATGAAAGAACCGAGATAGGGAGTAGAAAAGAAAGAACCGAACTAAGGATAGTTCGGCCTACTCTGCGGCTCAGCATAGCCAGTGTTACTTCGGTCATGTGGTAGTTCGGTCATGGTAAAAACCATCTCACTTGGTTTAAGCAGTGAGGGGGGTGTTGAAGGATAAGCATTATCTTTCAAGAGTATGAATCCTAGGAGGACTCTGCATGGAGAAGTAGAAGTCCTAGTAGGATTGTGCCACACGAAACTTATAAAAGCTCACAAACATTACCTTGGAGGAGGTAATACACAACTTTGCTTTCTGAATTCACAGAGTTTTGTCTATTTGTCTAGTTTGCTGACTTAGGCATCAGAGAGGTTTCCGGCACACACACGCTGGCTAGCTCACGTTTGTGTTTTCAGGAGATAAGGCGACGTCGTACGGAAGATGACATGTTTCTAATTTTTCAAGAGCATCACTTTCTTTGTCTCTTGGTTTGGCCCCCTTTAGCAGGTCTACCAATTCCTAGTTGGTTAAATTTAGTTCCTTCCAAAGCAACTTTTGCTCTCCATTTGATTGATTTCCAAGTTTCTACCATGATCGTTATTTGGATTTGCTTTATGTTGTTTGTCGTGGCCTACTATCAAATTGCAATAAAATTAAAAAAAAAAATAAATTTATATTATTTAATTTAAAATTATAAAATAAGAACTAATAGTATAATGTCCTAATTTAAAAATAAATTGACTTTTTATTTTTTTATTTTTTATTTTTTTTGCATCGATAAAAGTTGGTAAAAGTTGATTGGGCCATGCCAATCTGTATTGGCTTTCTATCCTTAAAAAATTGGAGCGTGGGAAGTTACTTTTTTATCACATGCATGCTCATGCATGGTTCTCTGGGTCCAATCAAGGAGGAATGATAAAGTGTTCCTTGACTTGCCTCTATTCTAACACCACCACCACATGGGTTGTCCTATTATTTTTATTGTTCTTTTGGTCAAGGATGTCCCATATATATATATATATATATATATTATAGATAGAATAGAATAGTACTTTGTCATAATAAATGCCGGTGTTGTGGCACTAAATAGTAATACACAACCTAAGCGTGTGGCATTGTGGTAAGGTTTTGGAATTTAAACTCCAATGTCACAAGTTCAATTCTTCTCTTGGATTAATTTCTTGGACGAAACACGGTTAGTTAGGAAATTGGACTTTAAGAATGCCTAATCAGCTACTTGGTGTGGGTTTAATGCTCTTTCGCTGTGCGAGTCCTGACTTAATCGAAGCTTGCCTTGGGAGGTCGGGACAAGCTTTCAGGTTATAGTTTCTTACTCGGAACGGACAACAGGACACCCTGGTGATCTCCTCATAGGGCGCTCTGCCTTGGACCTGCGAGAGGGTGGAAGGATTTTCCTGTAACAAAAAAAAAAAAAAAAAAAAAAAAAAAAAAAAAGAGAATAATAATACACACAGGTTTGGCAAAATGTTTTAGTGCAAGTAGTTTGCAAGGGCAGTTACACTTTTCGTTGAGTATGAAATTCATGAAATTCATAATTTGATTCAATTTAGTCTAATTTAATAGATTTGAATTAATTTTTTGAATTCGTAATTCGGTTCCTGATTAAAAAATTAAAAATCTGTAGTTCACAAATTGGTTCTAGATTGAACCCCACAGTTCCGGATTAAAACCGATCCGGACCATATACAAATAGCTTATATTTATATTATACCTCCTCCCTCATCTTCTTTTATTCCATATAAAACCTAAACCCACATAGTATCTCTTTTATTGCTTTTATTTGTTAGTTTTTAGTTTTAATTTGTCATGGTCTAAATACTTATGGTGGAACTAAATTTCTTATGGTTGTTTAAATTCTATAGCAATATATTACTATTATGGAAAGATATGTTGCTATTGTGGAACTAATATGATACTATGTTTATATTTTTATGAAATTAAAATGTTCTATATTTTTTTTCTTATTTAATTATGTGAATCTGTGGTCTTAAATGGATCCAATCCGTGTTTAAATAGATTGGTTCGGATTGGTCCCACGATTTAAATGGATTGGATTGGTTCTAATTTTTCAAGAACCGTAAATAATAGATTGGTTCTGATTTTACCTCAATCCGAACCAATCCAGACCATGCTTACCTCTATCTACAGTGGACTAGTTAAATAGTTTGTGGACTAGTTAAATAGTGTGTTAGTGTCAGTGGCCAAAATTTTAGCCAGTCACATTAACTTTTGGGTTCACAATGGAAGTGTTAAGTAGTGTGTTAGTGGGTTTTGTTAGTGTCAGTTGTTAACTTCTTTATTAACTGTGGCTAGCAATATAGTCAGTCATTGTGGGACCCACTTAATATAATAATATTTTTCAAACAACAACCCAGAATCAATATTACTGTTGCAACTAGGCATCTGATGATTCAAATTTTTTACTATTGTGCACAGTTTGTCTTCTTCAATAAAATGCAAACCAGTACCTATTCTTGACCATTTCCTATTCTCAACCCTTCCATTAAAAAAATTTCAATTTTATATCAGCCAAAACTTTCGAAAAATGGATCTTCCTCCATTTTTCAATAATCAGTTCAATTAGCAACAAAACTCTCAACCACCATTACAATTTGATTCTCAAGCATTTTCTCAATTCTTTTCAAATCCACAGTATTGTTAGACTCCATTTACTGAATTTATTCCAGAGCAATCTCAATTACAATCTCATGAACCTCCTCCAGTAAGTGACATATATCCATCCACAGCATAAAAAAAGAAAAAGAGAAAGGATGACATGCAACAAAAAAAAAGAAATCAAAATTGGACAAAAGAGGAAAATGAAGCACCTTGTAAAGCATGGTCGTTGTAACGATTACATCACGTATAATGATTAGCAATTAATTAATTAAGGATATTTGAAATTTAATTGCCAATTATTCCAATTTAATCTGGGTTTTACGAAAATTATGGAGATTGATTCATATATGGTTCTATTAAGAATTTATTTTGGAATTAGAAATTGAAAGCCTAAATGGCTCAAGAAAATACAACTGATAAATTGAATTATTTAAATTTCGAGTATCGGGCCATATGGGAGTTTAATTAAATATTCGATTCAGATCTATAAAACTAAGATTTGGTTAATTGGGTCTGAATTGGAGTTAATTAAGTTATACGAATTAGGAATTAAGATTATTATGAATTAAATTTAATTATGAGGTGTTCAATTGAATATGTAATTTATTGACGAAGATTTTGAAGTTTAAGCTGAAATTGAAGGCCTTAATGATTTGGGAAATCAAAATTGATGATGACAATAAGTTTAATTTAATATTTAGAGCCTTCGAGAGTTTGATTAAAATTTGATTTAGAACGGTAAAAGATTAAATATAATTAATTGGGCCATAATAAAAGTCAAATTAGACTAATTAAATCATTTAAGAATTGTAATTAGTTATGATTAATTAAGTTATGTGCTAATTATGATTAATCAAGACTAAGTGATATTTAATTAAACAAATGTGTAATTAGTGTGCTTAACTAATTCTAATATATCACCACATAGATTATTTCAAGGTGGACAAGTGTCCCACCATTTTTTAATAATAATAATAATAATAATAATAAGAGAATGGAATAAAGAAAGGGGTGTAGTGTATTGAAACAATTCATCATTTTGGTTTGGCTGGAGGAAAACCGTGGGAGAGAGAGAGAGTGTGAGTGTGTGAGAGGTCAAGCAAGAAATTGAAGGTTTTAGGTAAGAAATTAAAGTTCAAGTTTTGTTGATAAATCATTTAAAAGCTGAAATTGAGAGATAATTAGGTTCAATTATATATAGTTAAAAAGAAATTGGTAAGACGATGATGAAAAATTGAGTTTAGTGTAAGATTATGAAAATAAATTTAGTGAGTAATTAATTGAGTATGATTCTTGTTATTCTTCATGAAGTTGAAACTCATCCTTACATGCATGTTGGAATTTCAATATTTTAGACTTAAATTCATGTGTGAAAGACTTATAAGTTTAAATTTGAAATAAATATGAAGAAAATTAAGCTAGACTCATGTTTATGGAAAATTAGACATTGATTTGATTTTGATCTCTAACCCATCCATGTAATATAATGCAAGAGTTTTATTCAAAATTTAAATATGTTATGGAACATCTATGATTATGAATTAAGTTTTGGGTGTGATATGAAGAAAATTAATTAAATCTAAATTTGGCTAAATCAAGAATTAAATTATGATTTGATTTTGAATATAGAAAAATTAGTTAGTTTTAATCTTAATTTCATACATGCAAATACTTTCCTAAGAGTCATATAACTTCAATTTCATGTAAATTAAAAGGAATTAGTAAAAGGGTGAAGAAATTAAATTAGATTCAAAATTATAGAAGTCAATTTGGAAATAACCATTTTGGGTTTGAATTTATTTGTCTTATATGAAATTGAGTTTCAATTGCACATGCATCATGAATTTGCAAGAGTTTTGGAAGTTTAATTCATATTTTAAAATTTGTGGGTTTGAAATGGAGAAAATGAGTTAAAACTAAATTTGGACAATTGGAGCATGATTTTGAATGAATGATTTCTAATTGAGGGTGTTTACTAAATTATAAAATGGTTCTCCATATTTTTGTATCAAAAATACAAGTTTTGAGGCTTTGAATGTCAAATCTGAACTTCAATTACAATTTTAGAAATTCCAGAATTCACACTATCCGCTCGAGCGAGAAAGGTCTCGCTCGAGCATAAAAATCAAGCTCCCAGAAGTTTTTCAAAATTTTACAGTCCGCTCGAGCGACCAAAGTGGCGCTCGAGCGAAGACCCTATTTTCAGCATATTTTGGAGAAATGCATTTAGTTCACATTTTTATTCTCATCTCTTTCCAAAGCATTCTAGACATGATTTATGGCTCAATAAAGATTAATAAGCTAACAATCAACATTAATTAGTTGATTAAAAGAATAATTCATTAACTTAGTAGTACTTTATTAAGAAGCCAAGTAAGAACTGGTTTATTTAGAAAAGAATGATTTAGTAATGAAAGGATATGTGAAAAAAGAATCCGATTCATTTGAATAAAGGAAGAATACACGTAGTAGAATCTCGGACTACTTAGACAGAAAAAGACAAGAAAAGTCAAGCTTGATCAAGGAATTGATATTATGTTTCGATGTGTATATGTTATGGGTTTGTATAGGTCACACGCTATCGTTCGCCTGATCTATCTGAATTGTCTGCATTATTTGATCTGCTAGTGGAGCCATCTGTGAGTAACAATGTTGTGAAGCTATGTTCAATTACAATTATTTTCTGAATGATTAACTGTACTACTTTCTGAAATGGTATTGTTTACTGAATGAATGTTTGTCCTATTTTACGAACTGTACTCGTGGCGTCCATAACAATTGATTGTTACTGTTACTGCTACTGCTACAAAGATCTCTGTCAGTTCCAATGTTTGGAACTACTACTATTTACTGTTTTGATGGCCATCAACTGACTGTTCGGTCTATTAAGACCTACTGTATTGTTCTGCTATTGGATGTACCACGTATGACTGCTATAATTTCTAAATGACTGATATGATTTCTAAATGACTGATATGACATGAAATATGAGACACTGATTGAATAATTGATTTACAGATGCAATTGACTGTTTTAATTACTAAAAGGACATTCATTTTTAACCCTTTTACACATTCGTTATTCACTGGGCTTTAGCTCACAGTTTATTGTATATATGTAGGTGGTCAGCCACCGGAGCAAAGTTAGCAACGTCGGCCTAATTTTGTTTTGTCAAGCCAACCTACTGTGCCTCACCATGAGGTTCCAAACCGTTATTGTCAAGGCTTTGTTTTGGGTGGTCTAAATCCACCTTTTTTGAATGAATGCCATATGGAGTCAAGTGAATATTTCATAAGCTATTTTGGCTTTGGGATCTAATTCCCCAACATGCCTTTTATTTTGTACTTAGACGTGTTTTGGACTTCAGTTTTTATATATATAGTGAATATGAACTTAGACTTATGTCTGTATTGGTATATATATATATATAAGTTGTTTGTGCATTTAAGCCCTCACAGCTCTTTGGACATTATGTTTTAATATTTACAGGCTTTTGCCGGCCCCTCCTACTGTATAATTGCTATTACTGTTAAGCAGGCCTTTGGTGATCACGGATTACTGGCCGGTTACGATGCTGAACCCTTAGGGGCAAGTTTGGGTCGCGACAGTTGCGTGTCTCAAAAGATGCAGCTATGGGTATAGATCAACTGAGAGCGAGGTTATGGGATCAAATTTGGGATGAGTTCAATTAACTCTTAGGTTATCAGAGCGATCGAATCAGCTCAGGTCTGATGCATCGATGGTCCACCAATCAATCTCACCTTAACAAATATTCTGGATTTGTTCGCACAATAGAGAGGACTCCGACTAGTGGCTATAACCTTGAAGATTTGGTAAGTTATAGTTTACAAATTTTTCTACTCAAATGATTTAATTGAAAGACTATTAATTTTTGTTTGTAATTTTTATAGGTAAGAATCATTTTTGTTTTAGCTCCACTCTGTATGCTCAACGACCGCGGACGACAACCTTTACGACCAGGCCTCATGGGACATTCGGGAGGACATTTGAGGGGGACAATCATCAAGAATAAAGGTGGGTGTAAATAGATGGATGTAAATAGTTGCCAAATAAAGATAAAACAAAGATGGGTCTTCTTGATTGCTCTTAAATATTCATTCATATATGAAGTTCTTTGTTTTTCTAGATAAACAAAGCACCTGTACTTCATCTTTCTCCAGATTCTGAAACATAATGGGTTGTGGCTTTGAGTCTGGTTGTCAATTATTAGAGGAACAGACGAGACACTGTTGTGGTTAAGATTAATTCAACAACGTAATATATATATATATATATATATAAAGAAGTTAACATTGATGAAAGCAATTTATCCCACAATCTAATGTATTACAAGTAGTTAAGATTAAAAGGTAGTGTGATTAAACTAACAACCTCTTGTATCACACTTTTTGTCATTACAAATTTAAATCTTCATCACCAAATTGATTCCACAAATGTTCCATTAGATCAATTCTAAGCATTGCATTTGTTTGTAGAGACCTTGATTTTTTCGTAAGTAATTATTTAGTACTATTACTTTATTTTATTTTTGTCTTTATTAATTACGTGGTTACATGAGAATTTAATGTGTTATTTAATTAATTTAATGTGTTATTTAATTAATTTATTAATCCATATATTTATATTTGTTATATAAAAAAAAGAGGTGTTATATATATACATATATTTAATCTTTATATTTATATTTATATATATTGCAATTATGTTGTTTTATATAATATAATAATATATAATAGTTAAATTAGATTAGATTAGGGATTAGGTTTAGAAGTTAGAAGAAAAGAAAGAGAGGTGCGGCAGCAAAGAGAAAGCCACGAGAGAGAGAGAAAGATTCATCCAAAACCATAGGTAGCGCATGCAGAGAAAAGAGAGACGATGTCACGACCCGCTCTCCCTACCCAAAGATTAAGTATCGTGATGGCCAGTAACTGAAGTAACCTCCGGCTAATTCTTGAACAAATAAATAAATGTGAGCTGAAATAATATTTAAGTGAGAGTACCAAAATAATAATCAGAGCTTTTATTTTTAATACAAAATTTATTGACCAAAAAGGCCGATATTTACATATAAAAATATCATAAAAGTGCTATATGTGTCTATTCCGCAACCTCACATCTAAGACTTTTCAAAAACTATTTCTGAATTGCATTGTTTCCTGAAAATTGGTAAATAGCTATAAGCACATAGCAGAGTGATAAATATTATACCAAGAGTATAAGGGACACGAAACAACCATGGATAGTTATATAACTAAAATATTTAAGATTACTTGGTCTGAACAAATGATCATTTAAATAGCAAAACTGAGATTATATAAATAAATAACCATAACCACGGTACTGAACAGAACAGAGGTCACAGAAGTAACAATCAGAACAGAGATACGAATTCAAGAGGTGGCTCGTACGGATTATAGAGGTGGCTTCCACAATAGTGTAGCACTGATCTCCGCACAGTACTTTGCTCCGCACAAAAACAGAGGTCAATGGATCCATGACAATAGAGGGCCACGAAGTGACCAAACAGAAACCGATGGTTATTTAAGTCTCGCAAGGCGTAGGACTCCCGTGGTGGTACTTACAAAACATAATTGTTTATAAGGTTATAGTCAAATATTCTTTAAAATATAAACAAACATATCCATGGGTTTTATTTTAAACAAATAGAGTTCAGAAAATAACGCACGTAATTGAAATATTAATATAATTTATAAAATATAAAATTGTACAAAATAAATTATAGTAAGTCAAAACATACGTAAAATATATTATGGTGACTCAACATCTAATATAACTCACCTTAACTTTAATATCATACTCTTTCTTTCCATTACCAAAGACCCTCTCGACTTCCAGTATTTTTTCTTTCCTTTTCTTCGTTTCTTTCCCTTCTCCTTCCTTTCTTTTTCCTTCATTCCTTCCTTCATTTCTTTATTTCTTTCTTTCCCTTTCATTTCCTTTTCTTTCACCCCAGCAAATTCTCTCTTTTATAGAGAGAGAGCAGTGGCCACCAAGCCACCAAGTTGCTACGTGTCGCATTCACATTAATACGCCATTAATTCAAAGCTTATCTCTAGCCTATTCAATGGATACGCTTAACTTAGTTATTTATTTATACTTTGACCCCTAAATTCTTAATAATTATATTATTTTACAAAATTACACATAATAATACAAAATAAGTCGTATATTTTCCTAACTGTGATTAAATAACATTAGTATAAATTTTATAGAATAATTAAAAACTTGGGTTGTTACAGGCGGCTTGGAGAAAAAGTTGTGAGGAATAGGAGAACCAAAAAAAAAAAGGAAAAAGGAAGAAAAAAAGATTAGGGTTTTGTTTTGGTGGTTCGATTAGTTCTTCAAATAGTTCTTTGATCTTCAAAAAAATATTGTGAGTACAAAACTCACTTTCTTTGATTTATATTTAATTCGTTGTTTTTATTTATTTATTTGATATTGAATTGATTTCATATTTGCATGTAAATATTTGATCGATTTTAATTATTTTGATTAGTTGTGTATGTAAGATTTAGAGTTTTTAGATGATTGATTGATTTTAATTATTTTGTTTAGCTGTGTATGTAAGGGTTAGGGTTTTTAGATGATTGATTGATTTTAATTGTTTTGTTTAGTTGTGTATGTAAAGGTTTAGGATTTTTAGATGATTGATTGATTTTAATTATTTTGATTAGTTGTCTATGTCAGGTTTAGGGTTTTTATATGGATTTATTTTATGGTTGTAATCACACTCATAGTTATATGAAATTAAAATTAATTAAGAACCCATAGATAAATTCCTTATACTCCACCATGACTCCATGGATTATTGTTTTATTTGAGTGATGGTGAGAAAGAGTAAAGAGTGTATAAAAAAAATTGAGGATTATGAGATTTATTTGAATGCCTTAGGTTTGGCATTGTTATGTTGTTCTCATGAGTGAGATGTTTTATATATGTATATTGTTGCACCGTTCTCATGAATAGACGAGTGCTTTGATTTACGCGCGTACGTATATGCTAACCATCCGGGAAGTGTGGGTCAAACTCGGGATGATATCCCCGTGCAAGTTTGGCATCGAAGCGGTGTTAGGTATACGGGAGGCACATGGGACATATGTGCAGACCGAAAGTGGAGGACCGAAAGTGGTGGAGTTAAGGTACAAAGAATTTAATTACGAGTTTATTGTTATAGTATGAATTGTGTTGATTTGTACATTTTGAAAAATAGTAAATGACCTCGATAAATTATGAAATTTGAGCAGAGGCATGTATACGTGATTCTAGACAACTTTTGTGTTTTAACTTTTTATTAAAAAGATCGATTAGAATTTATAATCTGATGATCTTGGTTATTATAATTTTGATTCATTTTAGCAATGCAGATTTTAGAGGTTGTTTTAACCCACGAAACTAGCTCAGTTTTATGGTTTCTCGAAAACTGAAGTAAAACATTATTCTTCACACTTTTCATGTTTTGAACTTTTCCGAAAAAAATTATCTTAGGGCAGTTTCTATTCGTTTTCAGTTTCAGATTTGTCGGTTGAATTCCGTCTAAGTTCTTCTATCAAGTTTTTCTCTCAACCTATTTCATTTCTATTAAATTCGCTATCATTGTCTTTTAGGAAATTTGATTCTGTACAACTTTTGTTCTTTGAGTTTTGGTCAATTCAAATTATTTAAGCATGAAACGGTGCATTTTTATACTTTTTCAATAAGTTACTTATGATTAAATTATACTAACTTTATTTTTTTATAGGATGGTGGGTCTTACTAACTTTTTTATGCAAGGCTGGCCCACCATATTTTTATTTCTATTTTGTTTATTTTATAATCAATTTATATTTCGTTGTGTACGGGCAAAAAATTAAATGTCGCTGTATCCCGGGAAACTACTCATTCGTCTCGGTGTGGTTGGAACTACTTGTCTTGTCCCGTAACAAGAATTAAATATATTTTTGGTTGTGTCTGGTGGACAAGTGGGAGTTAAATCTTGTACTCATACCAGTATACCTGCATACTGACCCGTTTTGTCTCTTGGCAACTCGGGTGCGTTTTGTTTGAGCGCAATCAAGCTTCCTTTGCAGGATTAGTTGGAGCTACAGCGGTGACGTGGAATTACTGTAGTTGTTGGACTTGTCATTTGGACTTTTTTTATTTTCTTGAGCTTAGGGTTGATATTAGCTTATGTATTTTTTTTTTATGACTTTAGTATTGAGATAATTTGGCATGGTTTGTAACCGTACATTATTAAAGTTATTTTGACTACGTATTGTTACTTTAATGTTGGAGGTATTGGTTAATTATGAATTATGGTGGATGATTTGGTTGGCGTTTAGTTTTTTTTTTTATTTCACCCCTAGGATTTGGATGATGGAATATTAATTGGGGTTCAGTCCTAATTTAATATTTAATTGTCCAAATTTTGGGGCGTGACAGTTTGGTATCAGAGCTCTAGGTTACCCTAGACTTGTGAGAGTTTAGGTGATCCTCGGATTGTGAAAACATGGGTTAGCTAGTTTAGATTGGTGGTTAAATTTGTTCTAAGTATTCATGAACGAATTCTTCTTGTGTGTTTAACTTGAAGGTGATGGCTGGATGGTATAATTTGAGAAGCGTTGAGCCCAATGGCACAGGGAAAGAAACAACTGCAAACACAGTGGCAGCGGCGACTGCTTCCGAGGCAACCAATACGGTGAAGGTTAATGTGGGGAAGATGATGGCTCAGTTACTTCAGGTTCTTCAAAACAATAATCAAGGCCAGCAAGGAGATCCCTTTGCGAAGAGAAACAAAGACTTTGGTTCTTTGGGAGGTCAAAAATTCTTTGGAGATGGAGGACCCATTGCAGCTGACGCTTGGGTTCAGAAATGTGAGATGGTGTTTGGTCGTATACAGCTCACTGAGGTCCAAAAACAAGAGTTGGCGACGCATTAGCTTGAGGGAGCAGCCTTATTTTGGTGGAACTCCTGGAATGAGGGTCTAGATTTGATGACTTTGACTTGGGCAGATTTCAAGACTCGTTTTGACCGGAAGTTTGTTCCTTTTGCTATTCGGTCTTAACTGAGTGATGAATTTTTTAAGTTGACTCAAGAGGGTAGAACAATGATTGAGTGTGTCACCACGTTTAATGAGTTGTCTCGTTATGCCCCTTACTTGGTCGATACGTAGGAGAAGAAGAATGAGAAGTTTATTAAGGGATTGAATCATTACCTGTCTAAGTCCCTTATTCCCTTTGATGCTGGAT